CTCTCTCTCTCTCTCTCTCTCTCTCTCTCTCTCTCTCTCTCTCTCTCTCTCTCTCTCTCTCTCTCTCTCTCTCTCTCTCTCTCTCTCACACAGCTGTACTTCCACACGCCGCGATCTCACCTTGTCGTGCCCCCCCCATTCCACAAGTCCACGATCGCCACGGTAGCCACCTTCTGTTGCGACGATGCCAAGCTCATAACCGTGCCGGTGGAGCCAAGAAGCGGTGACCTGGCGTGCCCCTCAGCTAGTTCCGCCGTCGAAAACACACCTCTGGAGCCCGCCAGGATAAGAGAGCGGATTTCAGTACCGCCTCCACCAGCCCCCCCACCCGCGTCAGTAGCAGCCGCTGCCGGCGGCGCTATCGTATCCCTTGACTCCTCAGGCTCAGGGGTGCTAGTCTCGATCTTTTCCGGAGCTGCTGTCGGAGACGGTGGCGTTGGTCCCACCTTGATGTCGCCGTTGCGCGGCGAGTCATCGTTTTCCGGGGTTGTCGCTGTCGACAACCCTGACTCTGGCTCGGCGTTGGTGACACCGCTACCGTGGCTCGTGCTCAGGGCGTCTGTTTCCCCAGCGTGCTCAGCTGGACCTGTTGAAGACGGCGGCGCTTGCTCGACACTGGCGACCTTGCGAGGGTCTTGTGTTAGCGCTGCGGTCTTCTCCTCGGTCGGGGCGATTTTCTTTGCTACGGAAGAGAACGACATCGGCGTGCTAATGGCGGCCTCGCTGGTCGTTGCTTGCTCCCGCTCGACAACATCTGAAGTTGCCGCCGTCTCTGCCGGACTCGAGGTACCAGCAGCGTTGCTCGCGGGCAACGCTTTGTCGTTTAAATCGCCAAGCCGGGTCGACGACGTTTCCGACGTTTCCAGGTCACCCTCGCCTCCGTCGCCCGTCGCTCCCCCCTCCTCGGATGGGGGGCAGACCTGCGTGGTAGGTCCCGCAAGCGGTATCGCCTGAGCATGGTCTTCCTCCTGAACAGGAGGTGCACCACCTTCCTCCTCCTCTTCGTGCTTGTCCGAGTTGGCCTGTTCGGTGTCGCAAACTCTCACGGTCCCCATCCCTGTTGCGTCTTGCCTGGACTCGTCGTCGTCCGATTCTTTCACGTTTTCTTCAACTTGAGTGGCCGGATCTCCTGGAGTGGCCGGGTCTCCTGGAGTGGTCGGATCTCCCGTTTCCGTAACGGGTTTGATGCTGCCGTCAGAGGAAGACATTGTCTTTGCTGCCTCGGTAGACTCTGAGGTTGGTACCTTCGACATCTCTGTTTGATCAGCGTCCTCGAGGGCTATAGCGGGGTTACCCTCGTCTACAGGTGTGGGATCATCATTTCCCGGCGGGACAGTGGTAGCCTCTGCTTGAACGGCCACATCTCCGTCCACCTCCGCAGCGCATGACTGATCATGAAGATTTGTGTCTGTAGCCGCAGGAGTCCCTGCGGCTGCGTCAACGGTTTCGTTGTTATCCGCCCCACAAGCAGTGCTCGCTTCTTGGTCGGTCGCACCTTCCTCGGCAACACCATCTTCACTGATAGCCGCAGATACTGGGTTCGCATCTGTGTAAACGGCTTCCTTGTTGTCCGATTCGGCAGCACTGGTCGTTTCTTGAACGGTCTCACCTTCCTCAGCAACATCGTCTTCACCAGTCGCAGAGACAGTGCTCAACGCTGTTGCGTTAACGGCTTCCTTGTTTTCCGACCCTCCAGCACTTGTTGTTTCTTGAACGGTCGCACCTTCCTCGGCAACGTCATCCGCGGCAACGTCATCTTCACCAGTCGCAGGCACAGGGCTCAACGTTGCTGGGTTATCGGCTTCCTTGTTATCCGTCCCGCCAGCAGTGCTAGCTCCTTGATCGGACGCACTCTCTTCGGCAACATCGTCTTGACCAGTCACACAAACTGGGGTCAACGCCTCTGGATGAGAAGTCAATCTGTCGGTTTTGGATGTGCGAAGATCTTCACCCTCCCGAATGACGGTGACCTCCGTCCCCTCTCCTCCGAATTTGGATACCAACATACCAAACTTGCCCCCCGTTACCGACGACGAAGAGGGTGTGTTCGCCAGTGAAGAAACGTCCGACTTTGTTGGCGTCGCGAGGGGCGCAACGGCAAGCTTCAAGCCGGGATATCGCACTTCTGACTCAGCTTCCTTCGTGTCACCTGCTACATTTCCTCTGTTGTCCTCGAAGTTCGCCCACGCGTGCGTGAAGGACGCAGCGGCGGGTGGCGCCGTCGGCGTGGAAACGACTTCTGGCATACTCCCCTTGTCGGGGAAGGACGCAAACCCTGCCATTGGCATGGTCACCTCCGCCGGGGTCCCTCCCGCCGGGAACGAAGCAAACCCTGACGTTCCCAACTGCGGTGCCCCGACTGCGACCTCGCCGACAACCGGGGCCGAGGTCTCCGGATAACCCTTCTCCTTGACAACTCCTCCAGCTCCTCCTTCTGCTTCAACCTTCGGATTGGACTGCTGGGATTCCCCAGCGGGCAAGGGGGCGGCGGACCCATCCCCTTGCGTCGTTGCAGGAAATGCCGCGAAGTCTAGGGGAGGAGCTGGAGCGGCGAGAGCATCCATGCCCGGCTGTTGCTCTTGCTTTGGTTTGTTAGGTGTGTGTCTGGCGGCCAGAGCAGCTTTACGTGGGTCTCGACTGAAAGGTGAGTCCGGTGACCTGTGCTTGGCAGGAGCAGCGGCGACGGCGACAGCCAGAGGACGGGGAGGCGAAAATGTTAAACGCGTGAATCGTGACAACGTACGTGAACCGTGATAATTCACGGTAGGCTCCGCCGAGTTCTCAATGGTCACCCCCGACGTAATTTTCATCCAGGAACGCAAGTTTCGAGGGATGCCATCTCCTCCATTACAACTTATGTAGATACGGCCAAACCATGCCCCCAAACCCTTACGCCCTGTTGGTGGTCCACTGCAGTCCCACTTGCGGCTTCCCGCAAACGGAACGGCACCTCGAAGCTGGCCTTTTTACATGTCGTAGATAGTGTCATACTCACAAACTATTCCCAAAACGGCTAAATAAGAGAAAAAATATTTCCTTTTGTATTTCTGAAACAACTTCCCCGAAGAGTAATAATCGCCACCTTTCTAACTAACCCTTGGTGACAGGCCGGCCGGCCGCTCACCTCAACCGTGGAGCGATCACAATCCCGGAGCCCAAACCTGCACGTGAAGGACATTTTCGAGGATCTTTGGTCCCCGATCCTGGCAGGCGCGTCATGCCCCCTTGCCCGGGGTCCACACTGGCACCCTGCGGGGGCGGCGCTAGCCCCGACATCACCCTGGCGCGGAAGTTAGGCGGAGCGTTGGGCGATCGGCTCAAGATCGAGGTTCGATGTGCGGCATGCGCGACAAGAAACACCACGACCGAGGGAACCCAAAGAACACATCGCAGGTGTCAAAAAAAATCCTGTGTAATAAGGCAATGAAGTTGCGATGCGTTGCATTAACACTGCCGTCCAACAGAAACCGCATTCTGCATGAGTGTTCGGCCGAGTCTCTTCTTGGTGACTCATCTCATCGTAATCGTAACGGAAAACAAGGCGACAAAGATACATGATCAACTGGACTTCCCGTCGGAGGCCTTTCAGGAAAAAGGTCCAGCACAAAAACACCGCCATGCAGCATAAACCAGACCTTGACGGCCTTCATGCCCTCACCTCCGTCTCACGGGGGTTCCAGTAGTGGGACGGGGGGGCGGCGCAAGCTTCACGGGAGTCGCTCCTCCGGGGCCCCTCCTTAATGCCGGGGCTGAAGTCTTCGCCTTGGATGCCGCGCGGATGATAAGCCTCGCCTTCTTCGTCTCAGCGAGAGAGAGAGAGTTCTCTTTCCAATCCTTCACAACCAAAGCGTGGTGGTGGTCGGGGGGGGTGTACTCAAAGTCGTGCATCGTTAGGCCATTGACCTCGCATCCCTACAAAGCCGGGACGGAGCACGCCGGGTTCTCACCGGACCAGGCTCTCACATCACCAAGCGCGAAGCGCCGTCAGGTATTCGGCGAGTCGCATGAAGGGTGCGCTGCATCCTGCTGAGGGTGTTCGGCAACTCGTGCTTACTTCCTTGCATACGGATGACAACTGCGTATGACTTAATTTGTTTTCTGGTGCTTTCACTTCCAGAGACAGTTGTAAGCACTGTGTAACTGCCTCGAGGGTGCTTGACCATTTGAACACAACGTGGTGCGATCATCCCCTTTGCGCGGAGTGAGGGTTCTCCACCCCGCACAACATGATCCACTCGACCACCATTATGGTTACCGCAAAAAAAAGAACAGAGGTAAAATTAAAACGGCAACTCGGTTGCCGAGCTTTCACGAAGTGAATTGTCTTGTATTATGNTCGGCGAGTCGCATGAAGGGTGCGCTGCATCCTGCTGAGGGTGTTCGGCAACTCGTGCTT